AGCCCGATGCGGGACTCGATCCTGGGACTCCAGGATCATGACCTGAGCCGAAGGCAGTCGCTTACCCAACTGAGCCACCCAGGCGCCCGCGACTTTAAAGCTTTTATGTGTTTAGAACTTTCTCTAAAAGAGGAGTATAAATGAATAATCTGAAAATTCCTTGATTTTGTCCTTTCAATGAAATTACCATGTTTGGTAATATGTGAGAAATAACCACAGTGTAAATTAAATTTTAATAAAGGAACACACTATGGTTAAGAGCAGTCAAAACAAATCCACTGAAACTTGAAATGAATCACTGCAAAACACGCTTTGATATGCCACTTCACTGTCCATACAATTTCTATGTTCCCCCATTGCCTTGAGGATAAATGGCAAACTTCTTATCCTGGAAAATGTTTCTTCCTTCAATCTGATCCCAACCGACCTTCAAAGCCTTATTTCCTTCTCTTATATAAAGACGCCATGTGACAGCAGAGTGATCAACAGTGTGGCCTCAGAAGTCAGGCAGAGATTCAGAAGGCCAGATGGACACCTCTCCGAGTCACATCAACTGTGGAGCATTGCCATGACAATTGGAACATGAGCAGCAATGAGAGCACAATTAACCTTCTAGTACTTCCTGAAATCTGGGAACTGAAATGGCCAGGGTTAAGGAACCTTATGAAATAGTAAAAACTGAATAGTCGATGCAGAATTATACAATTACATACGTAGATAGAAAATTCTTTCTTTCTGGTGTCTTACCTCTGTTACAGGTACTGATCAGCCCACCATGGATGATATGGACCGGCATGAGCCAAGGTCCATTTCATTTGAGACTCATTTTTCATTAGGTGTATCCTGAATGTTCATTCAGGTCAGCCGGGGGAACCTCATTAAATATGGTACCAGATTTCTGCCCACTGCCTGCAGAATTCCTCAAGCCTCTACTACCAGAGGAGATCTTTGGCTCCTCTGGTTTCGTCTATTTTAACTTTAAATCTTAGCTCTTATTTTTAATCTAGTCTCTGAAATTTGAATTCCATTGTGAACAATTTGCCTCGTTTCTCACCTTTGTAGTCCATCAGGACACTAGATTTATTATTTTCATCCAACTCTATAAACACCACAGGTGTTGGCAAGGGAAATCTGATTCCTGTATCTTGCCCACATGTAGGGAAACTATTGCCGTGTCCTCTTTCTCAGGCAGGCCCTACCCTCAATCAGTCTGGGCCATAGACTAGAACGTGTTTTGGAAACAGAGCAGCTGGTAACACAGAGTCTAAACCAGCTGCCAAAAAGTTGGGCTTGAATTAAAAGGAGGTCCCAAAACAGTGTGATATGGGAAAAGAAACCAGACTTGAGTTCTGTCTTGGCTTTGTTACTGACCCGCTAGCCCTGAGAGAGCAAACAAGTCTCTAACTTTTCTGAGGCTATCTCACCTTTAAGAGTTGCTTCGAGGAATAAATGGAGTGGCCTGGGGAAATGCTTGGAATGTTTGGAATGTCTCGACACCTAGCTGGACTCTGCGTGTCCATCCACTCTTGTCCATCCTAAATGCCTCTGAGGAGCTGTTTGCCAAAAACAGTGGCAGACCACACACTCTGCCTGGCCTGTTGCTGTTTGTAGCTGTTTTAAGTATGTTGAATACATTGTGTACTTCAGTTCTCACAGAATATTCAGTTGTTCTAAGTCCATCTCACACGTGTCTAAGTTAAAAGATCACCTCAGCAAAGTATGAAAGAGATATGCTTGAACAAGTTTGACACAAAGCATGGATTTGGGTATGAGGCAGACCTGGTTCCAGTATGACTAGGGCATGCTTCATAACCCCTGAGTTTTCTCATCTATAAAATGAAGAATGGTAATGCCCAAGCCATTGGGTTGTAGTATGACTTTAACAAGAAAATGAATCCTTTCAAATAGAAAAGAATGGGACACTATATTTCATGGATTTTCCATGTCCAAGAGAAATAAGATATATGCTACATATGTGAATCACATGTGTAATGTTCAATTTTCTAACAGCCACATTAAAAATACGTGAAAGGTAACAAGTAAAATTAATTTTAATAAAATAGTTTATTTAACCCTATATAACCAAAATGTCATCATCTTGACATGTAAACAACATAAAAAGTATTGAGATATTATAGATTCTTTTTTATGCTAAATCTTTAAAATTGATGTGTATTTTATCATTTTGGAATAGCCACATTTCAAGTGATTAATGCCACATGTGGCAAGTGGCTATGACATTGGACTGCAAAGGTCTTGGAGACACCTAGGTTTTTATTGCCTGTCTTCTAATTAACTTACTTAGAACTCTCCCGTTGTTTTACTCCTAAGCTAGAATAATGGTTAAAGTATATGTGTTTGTTGCATACAACATTCTGTAGGCAACATGATCCTATCTTTTCCCCCTCTGTAGCCAGTCTGAACCAGCCTTGTCAATTTTTAGTGGTGGTTCCCTTAGGGGGCTCTACGGTTACCTCAGAGTAGTTCATCTGTCAAAACCACTGTTTAGGTCCCCGTCCAAGACCTGGACTTTGGATAAGACTCATCTATCAGTCAGCAGACCACACCGAGCCTTTGGAAAGGAAGTGAAAATAACCAATTCCATGACACGGACCTACTTTCCTTCTGAAGCACAGAGCTCTTTTCATGAATTTGTTACTAATTCCTGTAAATAAACTATCTTCCTATGGCTATGGTCAATGACTGGTCAGGTCCGAAGAAGAAAGAAAATGTTTTTCAGCTTCATCAAGTCCTATACTGAGTCATCATCCTCTCAACCGCCCACATAAGAGAGGCCTTTCCCTCAGAAAGTGAGTTAGTCCCCTGAGAACCGCTAACCTTGTGAGGTGACCTCAACCAGAGACTTGGGCACATACTAGGCAGTAGCTCACAAACGGATGAATAAATGGAGCTGGATACCTTATTTTGGGGAATTTGGATTACCTGTTAAAATAATATGTAAAGACTTCATTACTTCAATATTGGTTTATTTAAAACAAGATGTAATTCAAGGTTATTTCTATGCTGTTCTTTAATTTAAAAAGAAAAGAATAAACCAAAACTTAGCTAATTCAAAATCTATTGTTTTGATTCCTTGGGTTTCAAATTAGGGAGATTTCACTGTAAATGGCAAACACCGATCTTAGTCACTGGCTATCTTTCATAGTTCTAGAAAAGCTGCTTCCCTGTCTGATTCCAATTTGCCTTTAATCCACTATCTATACTAACCTCATACAACTTGCACAACTCCTTACCCTTTCTTCATTTTGTGAAAATTTAATATTTATAGACTGTAATTTTAGGCTCTATTATCTTAACAGCCAGAAATAGCATTTAGCTCAATCATCCCTTGCTCAGAAGGAGGCTTTATGTAAATTCCTTCTAAATTTTTTGGATATTTAAGCAATTCTTATATCCCACGCCTGTCCTTGATTCAGAGGTCTGTGTTCGTTCCCTAGGGCTACAAACATTTTAAATTTCTGTAGAAACTGACTTTACTCTGGAGGGCCTCACGGATACAGAAGGCTTGATTTTCACTCAAAGACAAGGCTTCCTTTACCTGGGCTCAGGTGGAGACCCCAAATTCTTGCGAACATCATTTTTCTTCCTCCCCCTGACCTCTTGTGGCTGATGTGGCCCTCCTTATTGTTTCTGTTAATAATTTTATCTCCAGTCACTTACTTATATGCACACTGTCATGGCAACCCCAGTGTTAGTCCTATCAGCCTACCACCCAAGGCAACTCCTTGTGCAGAAATGATCTACAACGCCCGAGGGAAAACATCTTGCGGCAAAAGTGACTGCAAGCCCAGCCCTCCAGTCGTGGTGCTCCAAGCTGCTGCCTGCTTACCCTCAGCAATGGATCCATCCATCATCCCAGAGTGCCTGATCGTACATGTGAGCCCAGCTAAAGAAATAACAGTTTTGTCTATAAGTTTTTTCAACATGTGTGAATGAAAGGAGCATTAGCTTAGCAGTGACTCCTTGTGACATGGTGGAGGGGAGGGGGGTGACTCTCAGATTGACAGTTTTGCTAGTATCATTCCAGGCCCATACTGATGTGATAAGACTTTGTGGGCTTTTTATCTTTTTGTGATATAAGTGGAATAATGGCAATGTATTAAGATTTGGAGTTGCTTCCTAGGAATGTAGTTGAAATTAGAATTGCATTATAATTTGTGATTAGTGACCAAGCAAGAAACATCACCCTGAAAAAGAAAGCATACTATGCTTCCATGCTGTTCTTTTTAGTACTCTGTTTTGGAATACTTTCTTCCTCTGCAGATAGTTAGTTCAGCTGGCTAACAAGGCCAAGGGAGCAGTTTATAGGTACAGCTCACAAACGTGTACTCTCAGTCACTGGCAGGACCCAGGGAGAAAGTGTGGCTAGGTGTGGATTGGGGCAAAATCATCACGGCTGTTCGGAAGAATGACACAGATGTGTGCTTGTGCAAATGGCAGGTCAGTGGCATCCTAGTTATGAAGGAAGGAATGTGCGTTGTATTCAAAATGACTGGCTTTGTTCTAGTTATTTGATTTTAAGCTGATTACTCAATCTTTCTGGGCCTCACTTCATCAAAGACGTGACTTAACCATTGTAAAGCACTTATGTCACAGACTTATTGTAAACAACAAAAAAAGATGAAACATGTGCACTATTATAAAACACATTAAGAGATATATATAGGCTAATGTTAAGAGAGCAAATTCCAGAGAGAGCCTGTCTTGCTCAAATCCCAGCTGCATTTCCTCAAAGGTCCCTTCATCTGCAAGTCAGGGTAATGAAGGCACCTACCTCATAGGGTTTTTAAAAGAGTAAATGAAATGATATATGTAAAGAGTTTATAGTCCCACTTGTCACATTGTAAAAATCTCATTTTAAAAACTCAATGAATGTTAGCTTCTTTAGCTGTGATTAAAGCTTTTAAAAAATATAGAATGCTTCACAGATTAGCATGTCATCTTTGTCCAGGGGTCAAGCTCATATTGTCTGCATTGCTCTAATTTTAGTATATGTGCCACTGAAGCAAGCATTCTTTGAACCGTCCAACACCCTGATTTGGAGATCCTGAAGAATTGTTTGAGTAGACCATAGGAAAAAAAAATCAAACCAATGATAACAACATCATATGCAATAGCAATAAATAATTCCACTGATAATCAAGCCACACTTTTGGCAGTGGTGATGAGAGAACCAATTCGCATGGTTGCTTTTCAGGTTTATTTTAGATGTACATACAACAAGTACTGTGGATTCCTTTTTAAAGCCAAGTGGTTCTGTTGGAAGAAAAAAAATAGGTATCTTGATGGTCTAGTGTTGGCTATATGTTTTCTTAATGTGAAATGAATGTTTGAGCTTATTATACTAATATGAGTCTGCCATGCCCTAAAATTTATTGCTCCAAATCAGTGGTGTTTGTGTTGTTACTAGTGTGGTTGCTGCTCAATACTGAAATGCATTCATTAGCTCCAAATGACAGAAATTGCACTACACTACAGTTTAATTTTTAAATTTTTTTAAATTTTTTATTGTCAGCCTGCCTGTTGTTCCTTTGGATCAGAATAATGAGATAATAGTTCCGTGAGGAGTCAAAGATTTCACAGCACTGGGGTAATCTTCCTGTAAGCATGCCATGGTTTTTGCTCATTTTCAATTTGGTTATATTCGCAGTGTTGTGAAGACATCATGTATTTTTCTAGTGTAATAGGGATATGTTTAGACAGTTTATATCAATAAAATGATCTAATTGTAATGTTAGAATTTATCAAATTTATTCAAAACCTATCATCACAATGAACTGTCTACTCTTTTAACTGTTATACTTTTTGAATGTATTTTTTCTACTTTTTTTTAATCCAAAAAGCTGAGTTCCAGCTGTAGAATTGCATTGTTATAAAAATGAAGAGAGGCTGTGGTCGTAACTAGTCATTGGCATTTGCATATTATTCAGAGTCTGTTCTTTATCTACCGGACAAATATGTCTCATTAACATGCATTAATGCCTGATTCCCCTTCTGTTAAAGAAATGATACAGGTCTGTAGCATTCTTCACCCTCCATAAGAAAAATAAGCTTATCTGTAAGAGGAAGTAAAGGCAATTATTTGGATAACATAAGCCCATCTTTCTCAAATTTTCTTGTCTAAAGTAGTAGTTCTCAGTTGGAGGCGGGTTTGTTCCCATAAATCACTTGGCAATGTTTGGAGACACCAGTGACTGTCAAGATTGGGGTAAAGGGGGTGTTACTGGCATCCAGTAGGTGGATGCCACAAAAGTGGCCAAGCATCCCACAATGCACAGGACAGCCTCCACAACAAAGAATTACCGTGATCTGGGGTGCCTGGGTGGCTCAGGCGTTAAGCGTCTGCCTTCGGCTCAGGTCATGATCCCAGGGTCCTGGGATCGAGCCCCACATCGGGCTCCCTGCTCAGCAGGAGGCCTGCTTCTC